TCTTTCCATTACACTACAATTTAGGTCTCCTTATTCCAAATCCAGTGTGCTGTTTCCATACCACTCTGTCTCTGTTTTTCTCTTTATCTGTGTGTCTCTCTCATCATATTAGATGAAGATTATATTTTAAAACCCTTAGAATTGGCTCAGGAATAAACTATATATTTCAATATATAATTTCATTGAACACCAAATAGTTATTATCAGACACATATATGCCTGTGTGCATACAAATTTCTTTCAGTCTGTTTGGTGTGGGGTGGGGGGGAGGGAAAATAGCACATATTTATTTTTTTTGATATATGGTGGCTTCAAACTTCATGCCACTTCACTTTGAAAGAGGTAGTTAGGTGTCTAATCCCAGCTCTATACTAAGGGCAATGCCATGTAGCAGAAAGAGCATGAAACAGAGTTTTATAAAGTACCAGCCTCATCTGTAAAATGGGGACAATAATTCTTACACTGCCTGCTACATTGGGCTGTTGTAAGGATCCAATGTGATAACATATAAAGACCTTTGTAACTATAAAGTACTATATACATGTAAGGCATTAAAGGTACCCTAATAATTACTGTAATTACCCTTCCAACTTGCTATATTTTAGTAGTAAGCTATAGCCATAAGATACCAAAAGAACGAACTAGACTTCATGATACCAAACAACCAGTTGAAAAAATGTTTTTCCCTTTTTCAATAAAATTAAACTTTCTGAGCATGGTATGGATATAACTTTGAGAATATATGTATATATATTCTCAAATTATACTAATTATACTAAATTTACCCTAAAATTTTATATATATATAATTTTAGTGTACTTTAGAACCCTCTAGCTCAAAGCTGGAGCAGCTAGGTAGTACAGTGGATAAAATGCTGGGCCTCTACAGTCAGGAAGACTCATTTGCCTGAGTTAAAATCCGATCTCAGACTCTTATTAACTGTGTGACCCTGGATAAATCACTTAACCCTGTTTGCCTTAGTTTCCTCATCTGTAAAATGAGCTGGAGAAGGAAATGACAAACCACTCTAGTGTCTTTAACAAGAAAATCCCAAATAGGGTCACAAAGAGCTGCACATGACTGAAAAACAACGGAACAACAACAAAAAGCTCAAAGCTTCTAACGCTACTGGCTGAAATTAGAAAATGAGAATCCTAACCCTGAATAATATGTTCTATAGTATTATAGACCTGAGCAATGTTTGCACATGAATATTTGTGTGTAAATGAATAAAACATCCATGTAGACAGTCCCATTTCCCATAAACAATGATCAGTAACAACTTTTGGCAATAGTAAAAGAATGTTGCTGTTGTTTACATTCTTAAATTAGGCTTAGTGCAGATTTCTAGTGAAGAGTAAGTTGATGAAATTGTTGTTCAAACTTATTTTAAAAGTTATGAGATACACACACACACACACAAACATCTAAATAAAATATCTAATTAACATTCAAGGCAAGTGTTATGTGTCTCCAACACCTTGCCTAGTTGGTTGTCCTTGGGTCTCAAAACCATTTTCTAACAGTTGAGGAGGAAAAAAGAGGAGAAATATAGTTCTAACAAGCTACCTGTCACTGCCTGTGGGCCTGGTAGGAGTTAGGTTGAAAATAAATCTATACTGATAAGAGTTCTACAATCACTTTACAAGGATTTTTATATTTAAGATATATAATCAAAACATGAGAAACACAAGAAGCTGATTTAAATCTATGATTTAGTACTATTTTTAACACCCAAGATCCCATTCAAAGATGGTTAGTTCCTGAAATAATAAGAGGCCTGATCTAAAGGTGGTTTCACTATAGCACGATCCTTGAAGACAGTATTATATTGGAATTCTGAGAATTTTATAAGAGAGGGTTCAGGCTTATTTACTTTCCATTGTCTCCTCAAATACTTACTCAGAGTTCAAGAGTCCTTAAACAATGTCATTCTGTTTTCATGGGTTTTGCTTCCAATGGCAAAAGATGCAAAAGAAAATATTGTCCTTCACTGTGAATCTCAGCAAAAACCCATTGTCAAATAATCACAAAGTAGCTATCATTACTGATTACATATTTGGACATAAGACATTACAAAGAAATTGTATAGACTAGGGACTTAAGGATGATTGACAGGATTATCCTCTTTATATCACTCTTCTTTAATTATCTTTTAACCAATGTTAATAGATAAATATACACAAATAATCGTCTTCACAATTAAAAGCTTTGTGGTCAGAGTCTTATCAATAAGTGGCATGGGACTTATGAAATCCTAGGTCCTAAGTGCATCTCCATTTCACAGAGCATACTACAGGGAAACCCTAGACATCAGATAACTAAAACAAAGAATAGCTTGCCTATCTGTAATTAAAAATGTCAACTTGGAAATTACCATCAGTATTCAAAAAGGTACCTGCTGTAATAATAACTTGTAACCAACTCATGCTATCTAGGCTCAGAGAATTCTCAGTGAATCTGACCCTGAAAGCTAAATCAGCTATTATGGTAGAATACATATTTTTCTAGGGCTACTTTATTAAAATTGTAATTCTTAGTCAATGACTCATGAATGTCTTAAAAAAAAAAACTTAATAAGAAGCATAGTTAAAGTATGACTACTGGAGTCTAAAGTTCATTATCTCTATTCCCAAGGTCTCTTGGCTCCTCCCTCCCCCCATATCCTTCTATCCCTCCCCAAATCTGTTCTGCACTTCAGGAAGATGTCAAGTATTTTTATCTTGGTGAAAAGACTGAAAGAGACAAGCCAAAACTTTCTTACTCCAAAGTCTTTGAAATCTTCTAGGAGGCTCAGTTTTTCTGGAACAGACTCCAGATGGTCCAAGGCCACTCGGGTACTCTGAAAAATAAAACATAAGGAAACCAAACATAAAAATTTGATCAATGCTTTTCAAGTCCCAAGTAGTAATATCAGCTGTACCCATTGTCAATAAGGGATGTATCCTGTTATACTTGGAGAGGTAGATAAGAAGTGCATTATAAATAACTATTATCTACATATAATATGTACGGTAATTCTTTATACCAGAAGAAATAACTTCCTTTCTCTCAGTTTCCAAAATGAATTTACATGACTGTCATTGATACAAAGACTCTCTTTTCACTTGTATGCCATAAGAAATTCTACAGAGCATTTCATATGAATATTAATTTACAAACCTGTAATCACAGGTGACCAACATAAATGAACCAAAAGCTGTCATCGAGAAAGAGATGAGTTCACAGTTACTTATTTCCAGAGTTCATTACAGGTTCTTTAACACCAAATGTTGCCATTAGAAAGAGGTCAAGTGTTTTTATCAATTCTTTGTGCTAAGATGTCAGTGCTATGACAGGAACTCAAAAACAAAATCAGAAAAAGAAAGCTTTCCAAAATTAAATACTAAGGAATTATGTAACTGACAAAATCAATGGTAGTATATAAAGTCTTCCATTTTCCACAGCATTAGGGTTCAAATCTCGCAAATTTCTGAATGATTTGGAAAAGAATTATCTGAAAGTCATTTCAAAGTTAATCTAAAGTAATGAGTAGGATATGCTTTAAAATATTTCAATAAATAAATATCAACACTAAAAAAATCATCATCTTGAAATTATAATATAAGCTCCCTTGGGCAGGGGGAGGAATTGAAAATTAAATAGGTAAGTGAGAATCTAATATGTAAAAAGATATTTATGTCAGCGTAGACATAAAGCAGCTAGCTGGTATAGTGGAGAGTGTGCTGGATTTGGAGAAGAAGACCAGAGTTCAAATACTGCCTGAAGACACTTACTAGCTGAGTGACTCTGGACAAGCTACTTATCCTCTCTTCGCTTCAATTTCTTGATCTGTAAAATCAAGATAATAATAGCACCTAATTTCCTGGGTTGCTGTGAGGATCAAGTGTGATAATATATGTAAGACGTTTTGCAAACTTTAAAGTACTATATAAGTGTCAGTTATTATTATTAGCTATTATGCTATGGTTCATTCACAGTCAGATTGGCTCCTACTCAAGAGCCCCTTCCTAAAGTCTGAATACAAATATTTTTTAGAGGTTCAATCTTTTATTTATTCTAATTAACTAACATTGGAGGGAACTTGACACATGTATTACTATTAATGTTATTCCAACTATTTAGAAAAGCACTAATGATTTCTGGATTTGCACAGGTTCTACCTATTTGGCACATTCCTGAATGTGCACTGTCACAGATAGATGAGTGAGGCTAAACTGTTTTGAATTCAACAGTAATACCATGTATGCTATATTTAGATGATTCATAAAAACTGTGGGTTTTCTTAAGTATTATATTTACATGTGAAAGATAGATGGGTCAGAAAACAGAATTGAAGCAGTTAACAACACAGTACTCATAAATGGAGGAGGCCTACAACTTGAAAGCACTGAAATCTCTTTCCTCATCCTACTCTTTCTCCCTAGCACAAAAGTGACTCTGAAATTTGGGTAAGCACTCTAGGGCACATCAAAAACTCCTTCTACTCAGAGTAAGGGTAAAATTATCCTGCCCCTTTCTCTACTATAATAACTGTGCATGTTAAACAAGCATTTTTTTCTATAACATTTTCAATTCATTGGATGAAAGAATATAAAAATTTATATAGCTACTGTTCCCATATGCTGCTGCTGCTGTGTGTGTGTGTGTGTGTGTGTGTGTGTGTGTGTGTGTGTGTGTGTGATATTTTGTTTGGGGCTTATATGTTCAAGTAATTGCATTTTCTAGTGAACCTTGAAAACCTCCCCAGCCCCTTCTCTATTAAATCTATTTATTCTTCTCTGTGTCTACAACTGACTTTCAGGCTTATTATTTGTTTCAGTTATAACATTTATCCAACCTTTCTTACACCCATGCATCTCCAATTCTCACATACTCTTCAATCCAATGACACTGGCCACCTTGCTATTCCTTGAACTCCTATTCCTAGGAGACACTCCATCTCCTAACTCTATACCTTTTCTTTCTTTCTTTTTCTTCTTTCCTTCCTTCCTTCCTTTCCTTATATGGAAGGCTTCATGAATCTGTGTAACATCCTTGCACTGGGGCTATCTTACAATCTCCTCTGTATCATTCCAATTTTAGTATATATACTACTGAAGCTGGCAGGATTCTGGGCATTTTCATTGGCTGTCCTCCATGCCTGGAATGTTCTCTCTCCTTGTCTCCTGGTTTCCAACAAGTCCAAGCTAAATCCCCACCTTCTACAGGAAGCCTTTCTCAATCCCTCTTAATTCTAGTGCTCGCCTTCTTTGGATATTTCCAATTTATTCTGTATATAGTTTATTCATATATCATTTTTACATATTGTCTCCCTCATTAGACTGTGAGCTCACTGAGAACAGGTAATGTCTTTTAATTTTCTTTCTATTCATAGGCTTAGACACTTAAAAATGTTTTTGACTGATAATATTTTATGTACTATTTCTAAATGTTTCTGCATTTTCAAGACTAATACAAATGCATTTTTAGTCATCCCTCAATTTTAATCAATCTGCCCATTGCAGGGGTGGGGAACCAACAGCTTTGAGGCCTCTAGGTCCCCAAGTGTGGCCTTTTGGCTGAATCCAAATTTTACAGAACAAATCCTTTTATTAAGGGGATTTGTTCTGTGATGTTTGGCTTCACAGAAGCCAAATGCTATCGAGAGATATTATCTCCCTCTCAATACCCTCCTATATGTATGTATGTATGTATATGCATGTGTATATATGTATACATATATATGTATACATTTCAGTCTCACAGTGAGACTGAAATGTATACATTTCTGATATCTCTTGGAGGAAATTTGCTTTTCATTGTATTTTTAAAGTGTTCCTACAACTTTGGTCTCTAATCTGAAGGCAGACATTTAAGTCCTACACTCTAATTTTTTAATTAGAGTTTGTCATGGGACCTTGGGCTTAGTTTAAGGCTATATCTCAGACTAACTATCTATCTAACCCTTTCTTTAAGGAGCTTTTCTTTGAGCCAGGGACACAGGACACATAGACATACAAAAGGCATATGAGCACTTAAAATAAATGCTTAACTGAAAATTAATTTGGGGAACATGTATGCGTAAATGACAGGGCATTCAAGTAAATGGCAAAGTAGCAGGCATGAGCAAGAAAGACAGGACTGCTTAGATTTATCAGCATAATTACAATGAAAAGGTGTTCCTTCAAGGGATTCCAATCTCAGAGTTCTCCATGAGGGATATCTATTGGAGCAAATTTGTTTTTCAGTATGATATTTTTAGGGTGTTTAATTATACAACTCTGACCTATAACCTGAGGGCAGACACGTTTGAGTCCTAAACTTTAATTTTAATTACAGTTTGGCATGGTGTCTTGGGCTTAGTTTAAGTCTTGATCAAACGTCATGCAAGTCTTAGGTTTACCTTTTCCCTAAAGCAAAGAGTGCTCCAGAAAAAATATCCATTAGGAACTGAGTAAAGTCTGAAATTAGTGGCTTGTTGAAATTCACAGGTGCTATGATGATTTGTATATATTAGCTCACTTGGCAGGCTTCCTAATGCAGATTCAGAGAACACCATAAAAGTAGACATGGGTATATTTCTGTATATTTCTACATATATATTCTTCTGCTCATAGTTGTTTAAAGATTCTCTTGGAAATAACCAAAAGCAACTAAGAAATTCATTTCAAGAAAAGGCAAGTACTTGTCTTAAAAAAAAAAGTCTAGAAATAGACTAGCCCAGATATCCACAAGTACATTTAATGGTTTATTTAAGATAGTTCCCTTTCACATAATATTACAAGTTAGTTTCTTATTAAAAGTGAAAATAAAGAAAAGGAGTAGACAAATGGGCTTATGTCTTATAACATTTGGTTAATGTTACTACTTAGATGTTCTAAGGGGTGAAGTTCTCAGGTTAGAAGAGGAAACAAAAATATCCAATTCTGAACCTTCTTGGTATAAAACAGGAAACAAGACTCCAAATTTAGAGCTTTTAAAAAAATCAGTGATGAAGTCCACACTGTTACATATTTGGTAGAGAAAATGGCATGAAAATGAGGGCTTTTATATGCACAGGGTGGAGGACTTTATAGACTAGAACATTAAACAGAATTCTTATATTACTCATGCTTTCAGGGAGGCATTGGTCCAGATGACCTCTGGGAGCCCTTTCAATTCATAAATTCTTTGAAAAATAATTTCTTTTCATGTTAACTTTTGATATGGAGTCAATATGAACCCCAGGGAAAATAAATAGCTGGGAACTGGTGTATAACAATCCATGGAGACCTACATACAAAAAAAAATCCCATTAATCTGTGCCTATGTAGACACAGTTAAATATCTAACTCCAGTGAAGTACTCCAGGTATTGAAAAACCCATATGGTGATGACACTTCTGGAAATACATCTCTTACCTGACCTCTCTGTGGACATTAAAGCTCTTGTGTTATAGAGAAAAAGAATGTTATCACACTATGAAGTGGGCAGTTAGGTAGTGTAGTGGATAGAGAGCCAGGCCTGGAGTCAGGAAGAGTCACCTTCCTGAGTTCAAATCTGACCTCAGACACTTACTAGCTGTGAGACCCTGGGTAAGTCGCTTAACCCTGTTTGCCTCAGTTCCTTATCTGTAAAATGAGCTCTAGAAGAAAATGGCAAACCATTCCAGTGTCTTTGCTCTGCCTCCCCCCAAAATGGGGTCATGTAGAGTCAGACATGACTGAAAAATGACCGAACAGCAAACACCATTAAGTATGGAGGACCTGCCATTAGGCCTCTTGAAAGCAATTTCTATTTATCATAGGAAATTAAATTTAAAATCTTCTTAGAATACTCATTTAAGATCTTTTTCTCCCTCTTATTTCTCTTTATATCTTGTATATTTCCCTTTTCTTCATCAAATATAGGCTGATTTTGTAACAACACAATTTTAATTATACTCTAGTCTGTAGTTTAACCCTTCACTAAGTCTGTTGTTAACATAAAGTTTTTTGTTTGTTTGTTTTTTCATATTCATTCCTGCCAACGAGAGCCCATATTCTAAAATTATTGCTATTGATGCTCAGGAAGCAGTCTCAGATGATGATGATGATGATGATAATCAATGACATTTGTACTGTACTTTAAGGCTTGAAAAGCATTTGATATGGCATTCTGTTATTCGATTCTCACAATGACCCTGTAAGTTAGCAGTAACACATACAGCGTATTCCAAAAGTCTTAGAGAAATTTTAAGCTATTAAAGTTAATTATTCTCACCATTTTACAAATTATCATCTTTACTTTATAGATGAGGAAACTGAAGCTTAGAGAGGTTAAGAGACTTGTCCAGGGTCACGTAGCTATTGAGTTTCTAAAGTTGGAGCGAAACCAATGTCTTTCTGACTCCAAACTCAGCACTGGTGATGGAGTACTCACACTTTTGACTAGGTTTCTTCAGATAAGTATAGCAGCTGAAAAAATGAATAACTGCAAACAAGTTTGTCCTTCCAACAATCATTTGCTCCATGTTAATTTATTCTCGGTAAGAAAGACAGTTCAATGTATGTGCCATTTCCATTAAGCCTTAAATTCCTACAGGAATACATAGTAACCCATTGAGTATCTCCAAGTAGGCAGACAGTGGCTACTTCTAAGGTTGAGCAGTTCTAGACTAATTTGGTCAATGTATCTTAGCTTTACATTAAAACCTGAGAAGGATTTGGTATTTTTACTTTATTTTTAAAAGCAAACACATGATACAGCAGGTAGGCATATCTGTCAGCAATGGCAGAAAAGGAGCTGCCAGACTCATTATTTTAAAGTTGTCAACATAAACCAAACTGTTACAGAGCCCAGCAATTTCAGAGGAGGTATAACATGATTTTTCCCTTAGCCTTTTCTTGTGCCCAGATTGTAGCAAAATGAATAAATATAACATGGCAGTGTAAAAAGTAGCAGTTTGGAACTAAAGGAAAGTATACTGGAAATCTTTGCTTTTTTGGCCTTTTGTATAGAAAGTCAAAATGATCACTGTGATATGAAAAGTACATTTGTCTTTGCCAGTGGAGAAATGTTCATAAGATTCATTTCCTATTACCACATCATGTTACTCAGTGTTATTGAAATCAACTATGTCCAGAGGTTTAAGTCTGAGAAGAAAAGTCAAGGCTTTATTCATTTTTTAAAAAATTTATTTGTATATTTTAAGATACTATGCAGATATTAAGTAAGCAAAGATCTGGACTGATTTATTTACTTTTAAGTTTCAAAATACATTTGAGTTTAATTTGGAAAGAGATCAGATGTAAAACTTCCCTGACAAATGATGGAAAGGTGGTGAAGGGACCTAAGTAAACACATCTCCAGGGAGGACAGGGATGAGGTCATTAAGAGAATATACTGTAAACCTTTTTTAGTTAGTGCAGATTTAAGTACAACACAGCTGAATCAGCTCCAGAGGGCCTTAGTTTCACTCAAACTATGCAACACACTTACTGGAACCAAGCCAAGCATTCATAGGGAACAGGTTGGCAAACCAGTATTGTTGGTGCATGTTCCCTAATATTGCTTCAGTGCTCAAAGTGAATTACCAGTACTGACTTTCGTATTTCGGATCTGTGAAAGAAGGGGGATCTGAAAGGCTGTTTTCCATTTAGAATATGAGAATAAGAATGATATGAAGTATGTATATATTTAATGCTTGCTAAAAATAAAAGACCAACTAACTAACTGGTGGGACATCAGAATGTATAAAAAGGATTTCAAACAATAAAACATTGCAACTGTTCATTTTAGATTGAAGTCCAGAAGAAATGTCTAAATAATAAAATTAGTCTTCTGAGGACACAATATTTCTCATTCAAACTGTTCCCTCAAAAAAGGGACTGAATATCAAATTCAAGAATGCTTGTTATTCATAAAATGAGGGGGTTGATAGATGGCCATTAAGGTGACTTTGTACTGTACTCTAAATTTATGATCCTATGGTCTAATGAATTAAGTGAGAGATAGCATGAAATATTACACTAAGCAAGGAGAAAAGGTTGAATAAAATAGGCCTTCGTAGCTATTATTCAATTCAAAAAACATTCAGTAAGTGCTAACCATGTGTAAGGCACCTCAACAGATTCCAGGGATACAAAAACAAAAAAAGGAGAGAGAGCCTT